ATCTAGAGAGAGCAGTTGATGTCATTTCAAGTGGGAAAGCATAACCTGTAAATGACTGTAGTGCATATTAAGTAGGTAGAAGTTTCCTATGAGAAAATTAAAGCATTTAAAAAAGTATGTGTGATTTTGGCCTTATTATTCTAATTGTGTTGGCCTTCCGCTTTCATTACCCTAATGCTTGTGCTCTGAATGTGTACAGTTTTGCATGGAGCAGTTGCACAGCATGGTGAGGAGAACAGTGCACTGAAATAGGACAAAGTGTTCAAATATCTAGAGCATTTAGTCTGCAGTAGGGAGTTTCAAAGCTGCCCTTATCACTGCCCTGTAATGCAATAGCCTAGCAGGTGTTCCCCCCTGTATAGTTTACACTTATAAAAGGATGTGTTGACGAGACTTTTATTACTGCTTACAGGTAGAGACCTTGGTCCATACAGGCTACATTTTTTCTCTATCTTAACAATGACATGCTTTTAAGTTATCAAATATAAGGCTGTTTACAGCAGAGCAGTATGTTCTTTCTAATATAATATCTAGTGGGAATGACAACCCTCCAGTTAAACTCTCCCCTCCCCTCCTGAATATGAAAAAAATCAAATGTCTTTATGTGTTTCTTCTGCTTCAGGCCTAAGGTGCCAGTGAATGAAACAGTTTTGAACACCAGTGATCCCAGTTGCCTATAGGCCACCTCCTTCCTCTCAAGTTGCTATTTTAATTCTGAAAAGACAGAATGACTGCTCAGGGCCCTATGGCCTCTTGTTTATTCACCTGCCTATCCATTCACCCTTTCCACACTGCATGGAAAAAGCATCCCAAATACCTTGCCTTGATTGTGAGAGTGTGGTAGTTTTTTTAAGGCTGCAAAGCAGAAGATGCTTAGAGCTACACCTAAAACATCTACATCCATGTTTCAGTGATTAAAACCTGTGGAAAGACTTTCACATCCGTTCCTTACAAAGAGAGGTAGAAAAGATTATGAGACCTTTTGGTCTTTTCCCAGAGCCAAGAAACAAAGGACATCTAAATGAGGACTAGGGAGGCATCTAATCACACAAGAAGTATTTCTTAATGAACTGGAAGGTTTGTACTTTTGCCTTGGGCTGAATTGCTGGAAGAATGTTCTGGTAGTTATAATTGACAGCTCAGTGCCTTGACTGGAAAACCTGTCCTTAGATAACAGAGGTGTTGCCCATGAAAAGAAGAAAAATGTTTATGTTAGCTGTGTCTTCTGGAAGATATTTTTCTTCAAATCCTATAAAATGTGTGTGTTTGAGAGAGAGAGAGAGAGAGAGAGAGAGAGAGAGAGAGAGAGAGAGAGAGAGAATGAATAGAAAGGAGAAGAGTTGCACCAAGGGACCAAACTTACTGGGAATAAGATGGGCTTAATTTGATTGTACTGATGAAAATTGTTAGAGAAGTTCCATCTTGCACACAACTATAAATCACCAGCCTTGATTTTACAATAGCTGAGCAGGGCTGTCAAGGATGGGACATTTTGGAGGGCATTCATTCATAGGCTCACCAGAAGCTAGAAATGGCTTGATGGCACATAACAACAATACAGTAACAGAATTGATAGTCTGTGGCTAGGTTGTTGTTGTTTGAAAAGAGTGCCTTCATTTATCAGTCAATCCCTGGAGGTTTTTGCATTTCAGTGACACAGTCTTTCAGTTAGGAAACCCAAAGAGAGGCATTTGAGGATTCCATTAAATCCTTTGCCTTGATGAGGATTTTAAGGATGGTTTAAGTTGCAGCCTTATGCTGAATAACTTGGAACTAAGTCCCACCAAATTTGGTAATGTTTACTTCCAAATAAATAGGGTGTTAGAGATATGAAACTGAAATCTGAATCAGGTGAATGGCTTGCAAAATATGAACCCTATAAAGTTTATTTGCGTTTGCTAGGATGTGGGGTAGTATTTTTCCTGAAATCTTATGATATCCTCTGGGCAAACTTCACATTAATTACAACTGCTTATATGGCCACTGTGGTCCCTTTTTCAAATCCTGTGAGGAGTCAGTTTTGAACAGACAAGTGGCCAGTGGGGAATGGGGAGCTTATTGTTTCCCTACCAGTTTTACTACACAAAATTCCCTTCGTCCAGCCACCTTTCCAAATGCAGACAAGCAACACAGTTGTCAGGTAGGACTGAGTGTTGTTGTTGCTTGCACAGATGGGTAACAGGCTAGATTCCTGACAGCACTTTGAGCTGGAACATCTAGTTCAATCTCCCCTGGTGTGGCTGTCTCAGTGCAGCCTTTGCAGCTTTCCTGCTAAGTAAAGCAATTACTAGCTGCTGTGTCAGTGTGATTGGAAGCATCTCTGATAAGTGTGCTGTTTCTAAGACTGGTATACAGTGGGGCCACCGATTGCGGAGCAGATGCTTATGGCACACAGATGTGGCTGTACATTTCAAATCACAGGGAGCTTTGCCTCCACATATATCAAGGCAAAGCTTATCCTGACAGGAAGGAAATAATGAAGCATTCCTACCTTCCTTTCCTCTTCCTATCTTCTCACCACACTCCTTTCAAAGCAGCATGGTTATTTCGCTGCAATGTTTGTCACCAGGGGATCTTTTTTGGCTCAAGGATCACATTGCCTCAATAGAAACTTTCTTGGGGAGAGTGTTGTGAGCCAGATTTTCAGGTCTTAAGAGCTGCATTTGGCCCACAGATCAGAGTTAGTGTAAAACGGGCAGAAGAAGATAAAAAGAGCTAGTCTAACATTTTGTTCATACAGTGGCTAAACAGCTGCCCATGGAAAACTCCTAAGCTGGAATTGAATACAATGGCACTCTCCTGCCCATGTCCACCAGCAATTGGGTACATAGGCACCCTGCCTCTGACACTGGAGACAGGACATATCCATCCGGCTCTATAACAACCTTCCCCTCCAGGAATGTGTCCAGTCCCCTGTTAAAGCTGCCCAAACTGTTGGCCTTCACTACACCGTGTGGAGGTAAATTCCATAGATTAACCATGTGTGAAGAACTACTTCCTTTTATCTGTCCTGAATCCAACTAGATTTATGAGATGACTCTGGGATCTAGTACTATAGGAAAGGGAGAAAAATATCTCCCTATCTGCTTTCCCCATAACATGAATATGTCTCTTTTAGAGACTGTTTACAGACTACCTGCTGGTCTTATCTGGATCCCTTAAGTCTCTGTACCAGCCATAGCATTTCAACAGAATTATTCTATATTCTCTGTTTTATAGTATGCTGCTTTTATGTGTTTTTAAATTTGATGTTATTTTAAGTAAAATGTTGTAATCCAGTTAAAGAGACTTTGGACTAGTTATAGAGGGATATAAGTCAAATGAATGAATGAATGAATGAATGAATGAATGAGAATGGCCACATACTCCAAATTTTTAATGTGACTTCTTCAGGACTTTGGCGTATGATGGTGAATTGGTACATCTTTCAGGTATATTCCCAAACAGAGGATGCTCAGTTTGAGAATATAATACAGTGTCAGAGGAGATGACTAGCATCAAGGTAAGGGGGAAATGTGTTCAGGGAGGTAGCATGGAAAAGATAAGGTTTAAAATACACTTTGTATTTGTTGGATACAAGACCATCACAATGCATTGCTGCCACACTAATTGTCTCAATAACACCACTGAAGTTCTCCACTATTATTTTGCATTTTTAAAACTCTACTTCTGTTTAGGACTGCACTAGCTTGCCTCTGGAAAAAAAGTACCTCCAGTTTGTGAAGAGCTGATGATTAATCAGCAGTGAGTTATATATTAACATTTGTACGGTCACATGGTGTCCTGGGGATTGCAAGAATCAAAGGCTTGCAGCTCCCATAAAGCCTCTTTAATTAACTTGATTCAGATATTAATGTGTCACTGGATATATCTCTCACAGGGAGAATTTTCATTTGTTAGTGCTTAGCCAAGGCGTGCCACAGTTTTCATTTTGTATCTCAAGGGTTTCACATTTATTGAGTGAAAATATGCCTTTCTTTCACCCAGCTGTATGTCTAGCAGAGAAGGCTGAATCTTACCTCCTCGCCTCTGAGAGGCAGCTACACTTACAACCTTTCAAAGCTCAGGAATGCAGTGTGCATCAAACAGTAGCACCCTAGCCAGAGTTGTCAACTGGCTCAAGTGTTTCCAGATAAGTTAACCTGTTGCAGAATGGCCACTCAATGTAGGGCTGGCACATACAAGTAGGTGATCCCCTTGGGAATTTACGGTATGATGGTGGTGGGAGCTGCAGCTGAACTCCCAGCAGGGCTGTGCTCATGCTGAGGTGGAGTATGAACAGATGAGCCTGCATATGTGACTTCTGCGATTTGCCTCTTCATGGTAGATTGAAAAAGTTCCACATACAGTGAAGCATGGCATTGCTTATTTATTTCTGAAATTTATTAATCTAGTTAATCCTTCTTTGGGTGATATATAGTACAAACAAAAACTAATCCAAAATCTTAATAAAACAACCAGTGAAAAACAGCAGAGACTAAAATATGTATCATAAGATCTAAAAATGCACCTACTCAAAAACGTAGCAGCAGAAACATCAAGGTTTAAAAAGTATTTGCTGGCAATGAAAAAAAGCAATACTAGCAAAGTATATGCCAGGGTATTTGATAACTGAAAAGGACCAAAGTTGAGAAGTCACCTACTCTGGCTCCCATGATGTTTACTTGAAGGCCAGCAGAAAACATGAGCCTGGTTATAGAAATAGGTTTGTTCTGGTTGTGAGGCATGGAGGAGAGGCCTCCTCCTTCATTGGAGGCCTTGGGAGAGAGTAATCATTGCTAGATGAACCACTTATTCAGCTTTGACAAGCAGTAAAATATTTCTGTAAAGAAGGAGGCTATAGCCATATACTCATTCCAGTTCTGTAAAGGGTGTTGCTTATGCAGAAGACAGACAACAGTTACTATTTTTGCTGCCAATTAATTCCCCATCAGAACTTGTTTGATAACTGAATTCTGCATGTGTCTTTGTTGGATCATCTTTCTTTCTTTATCTCCTAGGTGCAAGAATGGTTATGTTTAAATTGCCAGATGCAGAGAGCTTTGGGCATGGACATGACCACAGCGCCCCGCTCCAAAAGCCAGCAGCAGCTACACTCTCCTTCCCTTTCCCCTTCCCATTCCCCAGCCAAGCAGCCGCAGCCGCAGCCGCAGCCACAGCCACAGCCCCAAGTGGCAAAAGGACCAGAGAAACCACCAGGAACTATGCAGCCAGGCCCCAGGCCCACTGCTGGTGTCGTGCAGCCTGAGACCCCCAAACCACCCTCAGCTTCTGCACAGAGGGAACCGCACAGCCAAGCCAAGCCAAAACCTGCTGCTCCTCAGGAAGTGGTGAGGTCTTCCCCTCAGCATCAGCAAGCAAAGCCTTCGTCCACTGATCAGAGAAAGACTGCGGGAGACTCCCCTGCTAAGACTCCAGCCCCTCCCCCCAGTACTGGGGCACCAGAGCAACCCCAAGAGGGCCTCACTGGGAAACTGTTTGGATTTGGGGCTTCTCTCTTGACCCAGGCAAGCACACTCATGTCTGTCCAGCCAGAGGCCACCCCACCAAGTCAGCAGTCCCCTGGCAAAGTGCCTCCAAAAATTGTCTTCAGTGATGCCAGCAAAGAAGCTGGCCCCAAAGCCCCAGGCACTGCACCTGGAATGCAGGGTAAGGCTGGAACTGCCCCAGCTGCAAAGCAAGTGAAAGCCGAACAAGTTATCAAGCCAAAGGAAGTGCCGAAAGCAAGGGTCTTGTGCCCCCTCTGCAAAGCAGAGCTCAATGTGGGCTCTGGGGAACCCTCCAACTACAACAGCTGTACAACCTGTAAGCAGCAGGTCTGCAACATGTGCGGATTCAATCCAACACCTCATCTGGTGGAGGTAAGGAGGTTTTCTGGACCTGAGGGATCTTTCCGTTTATTGCAACCTTATTCTATGCCTTTATAGTTAACAGAATATTAAGGAGTAATATGCTTTCCTGTGGTGGGTTCCAATATAAATAACATTATGCTCAGCATTGATGGATTTGATTGAACAAATTGGGAGCTATGTTAGTAGATTAACAAACATGTCAAAGGAAGTGATTTGTGCAGTTCCCATTTCCCCCCACAGTCTTGTTGAGGTGCTAAAGGAGCAGGCAATCTGGTGCCCCACAGATGTTTTAGACTACAAGTATGGCTGCAATCAGGGATTGTGGGAAGCTGTTTTCTAAAACGGCTGGAGGACAGCAGGTTGCCTATCTTTAAAGCTTCCTGGGAAAAAAGTAGGGATGCGACTTTGGATGGTAGAAGAGTAAGGTTCTTGGCAAAGCAATACTGTCACAATAGCAGTAGGCAAGTGATGTTTCCATTTTCTGAGGACAAAATCCTCAGTCAAGTATGAGTAAGAAAAAGGAGCTGTTTTGGATTTGCTGATTTGGATAACAATCTAAGCTGGCAATGTGCTTCACCACTCAGTGGGATATACTTTGACAATAATGCTTTGGTTGCCAAAGAAAAAAATAGAGTGAAATGCATGGAATCTGAAATTAGTTTTATGGGTGTTTGTTCCTGTGACTAAGGGTAGAGAAACTGCAGAAGGGGAAAGGTTTTGAGCTACCAAAAGTCCTGTATCAGTCACCACACTGACATCTTGTTCATGTTCCTCAGGATGAGAAACATACCAAATGTATTTTCTGGCCTTGGGTTTCTGGTGTTTAAAGGAGTGATAGTTTATTTTTTTGCCATCATTTGATAATGAATAAAGTCTCAGCTCTAAATATGAGGGTGGTTTGTGTCTGGTTATGCCATGCCACTTTCATTGCCAATGGGAAATATGAAGTTTGCTTGGAGAATGTCCATATTTTTACATGTAGTTGAAAAATGTACATGAAGTTCTTCTCCAGTTCTGCTAATAAAATCTAGACATCATTAGGTGCTAAAATGGGATAGAACTGGTGATGCAGAGGTAGCATGGTTATTGCAGGCCCCTTCATGTCCAGACAAAAGGTAAAATTGGTAGCACTCTTTTATGCTCTTTATGTGTATCAGATATTCTGAACATTAGTAGGGATCTCATGGCTAGAGGTGATAATGGTGGAAAGCTGAGTCACATGGCTTGGATTAATTGTCCATTGGAAAAATGGAGATTAGAATGAAGAATAAGAATATCCATCCTTTTGTGTATTAAGTGGATGATTTCTTGGGTGTTAAAGACAAGTTTTCTGGAAACAGTGTTGTTTATCTGAAGTACAGTAAAAACCTCTTTCTCCAAAGAGACTTGGAGACAGAAACATTTTGCCATATCAGAAATTTGAATTTAAATTAGCACTGCTGGTTTGGGAGGAACCAGTGGCTTAAACCAATGTTGTATAACCGGACTTCTCCAAATTACCAAATATATTCCAAAGGGTCCATGAACCCACCCGGGACAGATTTGTGGGGTGGGGGACAGGGGAGACTTCAGTGGGAAGATCCTTTCTGTGAGCAGTTTCTATTTTGTTGGTGGAAGGACCCTGTTGGATTCAATTTGGACAAGAATAAATGAGATTTAGGTAGTAAAGGTTCTGATATGTATAACTTCAATATGCTGAGTATATTTCTTGAAGGTTAAAATGTAGAGTCAAATCTGTAGTACAGACTCAGAGCAGTTTGTCAGGGCATTATTCCCTTTTATAGTGGGAGATCATTTTCATAATTGATCTTGTAAACTTTACTTTTCTACTATTTTCCTTCAGCAGTGCAACATAGGGCTGGGGATCAGTATCAGTTTTTGATGCTCTGGGAAGCTTATAGCTTCCAAATTAGCAGTGAAGCAGCATAAAGGCAGCATTGTGAGGTGCCGCACTGCTGTTGGAGCATCTGTTACTTGGATGGGACATAAAATCCAGTTCCTGATTACCTGGCCTAATTCCAAGTTGCATAATTCCTTTTAGCCCTTACCACACCCTTCATTTCCCAAAAGGAAAAACAAAGCTACCGTGACATTTCAAGTGCCTATAGATGTTCCTCACATGACTTTAAATTGCTTCCGGCTTACTTGAACTGCTGCAGTTAAAGAGCTATCATGTCCCTTACAGTGTAACACTTCGGCATTTCCATGATGGAGTTGAAATAACTGTCTGTGATGGTTCTATTGATGTTGTGAAACAAGTAGTGCTTACCTTTACCCATGGACAGCCATGAAGTTCCTTACTCTCCCAAGTCAAAGCCTACCTTAGGAAAGCAAAAAATGCTGCACTAATCACAGGTAACAAGTTTGGACAGCCTACCTATGAGCAGGAAATTGCAAGTGTGCTTTTATTTGTAAGCATCACAAAACCTTTCCTTGGGGATTTCCTTCCTTGTTTTCACTGCCAGAAAAAAATGGCCACATGGTGCAGTTCTGTGAATTGGGTAATAATTCCTTGCATTATAACTTTTGAGTAGTGGTGCCAGTAATAGTTGGTGTAGCAGGTAATGTAAAAAAAATATACGTGCATGTTGGAGGGGCACTTTTAAGCTGAGGACAGTGCAGGGCATTTTGCATGCATTGAAGTTGAAAGAATTGAGCAAGAGATGGTGCCATGTTACATGTTGCAGAACAGGTCCCACATCAGTAATGTTTGAATAAAACACTGAATAAAAGCTAGAGTTTCAACATAGATTAGCACAGTCCATAAACTCCATGTGTCAAGAGCGAGTGGAGAGGGTTTAGCCACTGGGTAATAGAAGAGAGTGACAAGAAGGAGCAGGGAGGTCTGCAAAAGTTCATGAAGCATAACATGATGACTGGGCTTGCACAACATGACAGCCCATTGTGGGTGACAAACAAACCTGGCTCCTTCTCACAAGATGGCTTGTCCATGGGCAACAAACCACCCTGACAACTCATGACTTCTTGAGAGGGTTGTTTTACCCATGATGAGTTGTTGTGTTTTTCAAACCCAGGCAACCGACTCCATTGTCAGTAATGGAAAGTGGCTGCAACACACCCTTGCAGCTCTTGCCATGATGGCTTAGCTAGCAGCAGCCCACAAGTGCTCACCTGGTACTTTGGAGTGGCTGCCATTGGCTGCATGTCTCTCACCACAACCATAGACTTTTTTTTTTTTTTTTTTTTTTTTTTTGGTTTTTTCCTCCCCCCCCCCCTTTTTTTTTTTTTTTTTTTTTTTTTTTTGCTATGGCTTCTTCTACTCCTCCACACTTAACTTTTTTTTTCTTCTGACATCACAAGCTCTAGTATAATAGCCAGTTTTCATGATCTCTCTTTTAACAGCAAGTGACTGCCCCCTTTAAGTGCCCAAATGGCATATAGAAGGGGCTGTCTGTAGTTGGCAGGATATTTTTTCATTTTGTGTTAATGTAAATATTTTTAATGAGCCATATTTGTATAACTGTAGAAGTACACAGTTCTACAAGTGTGAAACTAAGAAGCCTTGGATGGACAATGCCTTGGGGGTTATCCAAAGAGGATCCTTATAGGGTTACTTTGCTTTCTCTTGACAGCTGTCAAAACAGCAAGCAGTCAAGGGAAAGCAAAGACATGTGGGATCTTTGCTTGTAAGAACAAGTTGATGAGATTTACATTTCCTTTGTGGAAAAACCCTCATCTTTTTCTTCCCCCCCCCCCCGACTTTCTTCAGAGTTCTCTGTATTTTGCATTTTCTTCCGAGATTCTAGGTGCTCAGCAAAGTGCAAAAGTGCATCCCACCCCATTTCCAGAGCAAAGGAGTTTTGACAGCTAGCTGTTAAATCTCTACATCACCCTTAAAATAACATTTTGACAGGGGAATGTGTGCTTTTTAACAGGGACACATACAGCCATGTGTTGACAGCTAGCTGCCAGTTTTCAATAGCATGATTTGAGAACATAGCCATTGTATGAATAGTTCTATACTGAAGGACAGGTCCATGCCTTAGATTGAAAAAGGTATTTTGATACCATTTTAGAGGCATTTCTATGACTGGAAAATATGGGGCATACACTCTTGGAAGCTTCAGCCAATCAGGAATGCTTAGCAGGAGCCATACAGATGGGTGTACAAATCACTTCCTGGCACTGAAATCTGGAACTTTAATGGTCTCGAAAGGTCAATAAATCATCCCTTGCCTTGACTTTTCAAAAAACGGAATTTTGCTTTGTGTGGTCTCTCGTGAGTGTAACAGAAGTTCACAGAGCTCTGGAATTGCCACCCCAATATTTGTTATAGGATGCTACTGCCAAATTTGGTTTGGTTTGGTTTTGTTTCTGATGGCCATGGTATGGATGCTTTCAGACAAATGGCTCCTAGCTCCTCGTGCTACTAGTTCAAAGGCATTCTACAACTATTCCATCTTTCTCCTCTTTATTTAGGGTGAGGAGAGCTGGTTAAAGCAGTGGGAAAATAAATGAGGGCTAGAAATAGAAAAATACAACATCTTTTGGAACAGTAAATATGCCTCTGCCTCATTTGGAAGTATTCTACAGATGGTGCAAATGTAACTTTGCATTTAACATGCTGGGCATTTTTTAAACATAGGGCATACATTTCAGAAAGTGGATACAAATCAGAAGTGGTACATGCAGAAAGCAGCATGCTTGCTTGCACCCCTGAGACTCTGCTAACTGCTGGGCTGTTTAATTCATGAATTGTCATTATGTGTGAAGCAGGTCAGTATTTGGGGAAAGTAGTGCTGAGGAAAGGTGATCTGTAAGAGCTCCACTGGCTTACCAGGATGTTTCACAGTCTAATTTAAAGTGTGGGTTTGACCTTTAAAGTCTTAAATGGTTTCAGATAAAATTACTTGAAGCCTTGACCCATCCATAATAGTCTGCCTACCCTTCTGCAAGAGACCCAGGAGTGTGGTTTGGTGGTGTGCACATGAGAAAGGCCTTACTTCCACAGTGGGGCCATGCTTCTGGTATGGTTTGCTATCAGGGGT